TGGCATCGAGGATACAACCAACGCCTTACGGCTACAATGTACTACTACCTTCCAACTTGTACTTGTTGGTAGGATATATTTGCGGCATTCCATGGAACGTTCGGACTTATACACCTATCTTTCTTTCAGTAACTGTATTGAAGAAACTGCTAATGTTGCTCACCTATAGTTCACCCGCTATATTGGCGGTCGCTGCGAGGCCGACAGAGCTAGTATCGCGATTCTTGCAGGGATATTTTCATGAACAGTAGTTTCCTACTATTCGGAAGTAGGATATTAGCACCCCAATGTTTAAGAGCGGTAATCTTTCAAAACCAATAAACTATCGTCCACTGGTTCACCTCTAGTGCTCTCAAATAGGATGAAATCTCTCATTAATGAAGCACTAATGATTCTTTAGAAAGATCTAAAATCACTGCACCGGAGCAACAGGGCTTAGGTTAGTACCAATCATGTATCGCCTTACTAACAGCGTGTTGAACTCGAACTGAGCTGCTGACGGCAGGATTGGAGCCGATCGCATTTCTCTGGACCTTTCTAAGGCTTTCGATCGTGTGGATCACCGCATCCTTCTGCATAAATTGCGAACCTACGGAATTAAGCACCCTGTCCTTAGATGGATCAGAAGTAGCCTTCTTCATTGGCTGCTGCTGGCTTATTAGCTGCTCCAACTGAGCAGGAATGCAGTGTTCCACAAAGCTCAGTGATGCGCCTCAGTTGTTCCCGGTCTTCAGTAACGACTTCGCGCGTGTCTTTAAGTCGAAATTCTTGCTTTCCGCCGGCGACATCAAGACTGGAGGGCGATCGGTTATCAGGTAGATCATGATTCGCTTCAAGGGGACTTGTAGCGTGCCTCTGGGTGATCAAAGACAAATTTACTCCTATTTACCAAGAAAAAGTGCATAGTAGTTCATCCACTTCATCAATCTGATATCAAACATAGGTTTGTAGGTTACGTACTGCCGACGTCCTCACTGGACGAGATCATAACGTATCTCTCCTGCTTGACCTCTGCCGTTCGATGAAAGCTGCAAAAATGCCGAAAAACCGGGAACGAACGCAATGGTAGCTTATGTTTCCATCTTCCCGCAAATGCTCAGTGCGTACCCGAGACCCCATATGTAGCACACCAATCATGACTCACAATCCTAACGAAAGAATGTCCTGATAGCAATGGCGACCTCACAGTTACGGGTTTGTTCCATTTACCATATTAACTGCAACTGAAAACCTTAGGATTGTACAGTGGGATTATCGTCGTTTATCGTCTGACCACATCTACATGTCAAATTTGTAAAAACCCAGTCAAGCAAGCCGCCAACCCCCGTGGTTTAGCCGCAACATCGAAATAAGGGACCACTAGCTGGAGCTGCCCTCACAACACAGCCGGTTTAAGTGTGAACGGCATTTTTCTCTTCCACAAGATTTGTCAGCAATGGAACGCTATTTTGTTGTTATTTCTGCTTCCATGTTAACAATTCTTTAAAACCACTGGACGACGCATTTCACCATTTGCGTTACGTGATTACGCTCCCGTCTATCAGATAACGACAAAACGAGAAAAACTGTGCACACCAGTCCACCCCCACGAAATCCGGTTGGATTGATTTAAGTCTCTTTGAATGTGTGTATCTTGCCGAGCCCGTAGAAGTGCACTTCAGATTGGGGCCACATTTCTTCTTCTTTGAACTTAAGTATTTCATACAGATGGTATACGAGCATTTTCCCATGATTCAAACCAGGGTGCTTGTGTCCCTTGGGCTCACAACCCGGGATTCTGCAATGCCGTAACGCGGCCAGCTGTAGCATCAGTGTTTTTAAACCCCAAGCCAAAATTTCGCTTTGGCTACCTTGCTGCCCCTTCCAGTCACAACTAGTGCGCAAAGAAATCGCGGCGGAGCAACCACTGAACAGACTTACCATCAAGTGTCTTAGACACCGAAGTCTGTGCAGGGAATGTATGCGACTCAGTTGTTGACAGGTACTGTCTAACTTGCAAATCCGATGGCGAACTTTACGATTAAAACTGTTATGCTGTCAGCATACACCAATGACACACCGGAGGCGACAGGGACAAAAGAAAACCAGTATTTTGGCATCGCTCGCGGTAATGGTACAAGACTTGCAGCCGTGAAGGGGCATTGTGGGTACCGTAGCCTGGTATCCTCAGACATTCAATGAGCATTTGGATTCATGACAGTGCCAGAGATGTAGAAAGTATGCGAATGCTAATCTAGATTTGGAGACTCGTAATGACCCTATGTGTTAATTCATCAACCAACGACGGCTCCCAAGGTAAAAATACTTGTCAGTTAATTTCAAAGTGTAAAGTAAATGTAATTGAGGGAGCAGTTTCTAGACGGTCCCGAGAGAAAAGCATGTATTTCTAGGCAGAGGTCATCTCAGCTTGGAAGACAAGGATCTCCGACATGTGTATGTTTAGACTAGGCTGCGAAGTGTTGCAGACCGTAGTGCTATAGTCAGCATACTCCAACTCACAAAGCTGACCATCAGAAAACGTCTAGAGACCATTAAGTCCAAAGTTTTCTAGGGCACTCTTCAAGATGTCATACATATCAAAACTGAGTAAGGATGGTGATGAGGTGCAATTTTGTCCCATTCTCTTGGTGATACTAAAATCTTGTGACTGACCACCGTATACCCGCAATTGGCTAGACGTTATAGAATATACCACTTAGAGAACACATATAAACTACTACGGCACTTCCATTCTAAACAAGCATGTCCAGAGAACAGCGGATCTTGTGTCTAAGAACCGAATGCAGAGATGTTAAAAATTGCTCAGTAGTGCTCGAATATCTGTCGGGCCAAATGTTTATGAAAAACACTTGTCATAAAATGCATACAACCATCGTCTACCTACGTATAATCATTACTCTTCCCACTGTTAAACAACACGGCAGACCACCTGTTGATCGTTTCTCCGAGCTTGGTTAAGAAATCGCATACGTTTCACCACCATGCGAGGTGGCATCTTCAGTGCAGTAACAGGCAGTGTATAATGCTGCTTATTGAACTGCCAATCCGTCATCCACGGGCAGGTGACTTTTGAAGGTGGCGATTTCGATTTGCGCCACGTGATCTCTGCCCATTTGCTTCCACGGCTGAACCAGGTCTTGCGATTCGCCGGAGATCTTTCTTTCGGAGTTGATGGTACACGGGGTCAATGTCGATGCGCATGTTGATCGAATTATTAGAGGAGTACCATGCTTCTAGGAACTCTCTTCCTTTCTGTGTTGTTGTTTGAGCTAAAATCACCGTGTTGTTCCAATTGAAGTTATGTCCCTCCTCATCTACATGCGCTGAGACAAGAGACGATGCATAATGCTTTTTACAAGCCCTCTGATGTTCTTGTATTCTTGTGGATAATTTCCTTCCTGTCTGCCCCGTGTACCATCAACTCCGAAAGAAAGATCTCCGGCGAATCGCAAGACCTGGTTCAGCCGTGGAAGCAAATGGGCAGAGATCACGTGGCGCAAATCGAAATCGCCACCTTCAAAAGTCACCTGCCCGTGGATGACGGACTGGCAATTCAATAAGCAGCATTATACACTGCCTGTTACTGCACTGAAGATGCCACCTCGCATGGTGGTGAAACGTATGCGATTTCTTAACCAAGCTCGGAGAAACGATCAACAGGTGAGCAACCAAGCCGGGCTACCAGTGTTCCAAATTATTTCGAATACGGTAGCCTGTCAACAGCACTGCCAGTAGCTTCAGGTCAAACACTGGTTGCAAGAACTGAAAGATACTCCTGCACAATCTGATAAACAAAAGGACACTCCAGTCATTCAGGATAACAGTATACTCTCTCAAAAAGACTTCGTAAAATGTGTTTTACACAACTGACCGTAGTACCAGGACGATAATTCACCTTAGCTCTTCCGTACCAGGTGCGTCATCTTGCGAAATGTCCTACTGCCAACTATTTGAGGTTTTGCAGATGTAGGAGTATTCTGCATCCAACTTAAGTTTCCAAGAGCTGAGATAGATAGTGATCATAGGTTCAGTGAGAAAAAAGCTTGGCAGATGCTCCCAGAATTAGCCGAAAAACAAAGAGATTAGAGGAAAAACGGACACAAGACTAAACAACAGTGGAAAACGTGTATCTCATGCTTCTGTAGCAGCACAGCCACAACCCCAAAAGTGTGAGTACATGATCATAACTCTGCCTAATAATGTTACCATTACAGGAACGGCCCTCTGGTACCCAAGAAATACAACCTGTTATCATAAAACTGGACCACACCGACTGCCTAAAACAAAGCGAGGGCTTGGGAACCACAGACAGATGCGCAACAGGGAGAAAGGCGGAAAAGGAGGTAAGGTGTGTTGTAGGATAGAGCGCAACCTACAATGTCCGTGACGACAATCGAGGCGGTACCCAGCGATGGGCAAATGGGCGATGCAGTAAATAATTAAGACCAATATGCCTGGTAAATGCGCGTTTCTCAGTCCACAACTGCATGCATTACTTTAACTTCTACCCAGTTATCACTACCAGAGTCGGTCAAAGTAAGGGGATACTGACTGCGTAGTGTATTGTCGTGTTCGTATGACACCAAATCCCAACCAATGCAGTTGCGCTACTCAGTCACTTAAAGAATACCTCATTTTCCATTTGCTACTTCGCTGACTAGCATTGGCATGTCAGCTAGAAAGCACTCGTCGCATCTTCACACTTCCAACTTGCCAAGACAGTCGTCGACAATCTTGATTCGTGGTGCGCATTCCGGAAAGGGATGACAATAGTTAATATGGAAATGGTATTTATTTTAATGCGATCATTCGAACATCACACTACTAAACATTTACTGTTAAAGATGTCGTTTTTTAATTATTCACAGAATAATCTCACGGCGCCCTATAACTCTACCTAAGATACTTACTGCAGGGAACAAATTATGCTACAGTGGTGTATAGCTCTACGTGCTTGCGAACGTACAACAAGTATCTGTGACCAACGAGGTTAACCATACCTTACGAGATTATTGAGTGCGGGAATGATGAAGCTGTACCGTACGATACCCGCTGACCTGGGCATATACGTAGCGTAACACAGAAGATTAGATAAACCAGCTCCGGTGTCGAACGCATTCTGTCCGGCCGCTGCTATCCAAAGGTTTGGCTGTGCAAGGCTATCTGTATAAATAGAAAAGTAACAGAAGAAGATATAGTGAACATAAGCCAACACATGAGTTCAGAGAGGTTTGGAAACAATCGGTTGTTTCCAAACCTCTCTGAACTCATGACTACTCGATCGGTTCCAAGTATCTTTCAAGAATTTGAAGCCAACACATCTTAAGAGACCGAAATCCCAAACAACGTAGTATTGACTTCCTGTTATTATGGCCTTTAGACAAAGATATAGGGGATGGAGAACCAAATCTAACTGGTACCAACGGGTTGATTGAAGCTTCTAATGAATACGCCAAGCCAGGCAGAGGTGCCGGAATGGGCATACAGTGCATTAAGTAGGTTCTAAAGCAAGAATTCGTCAACCAGCAACCTGATCCACACCGGACTGAATGTCACTCCGGTTGGCTGCACCTGAAAAACCAAGTTGCCACAAAGAATACTTGTGGGATTAGATAACGAAAGTAAGAACTTAATGCTTAACTGATTTACCTTAGACCCCAGTAATCAAGCCGACTGGGATTAAATTGAAAATAAATGACATTCAGAGGTGGTGTTTTGTGTTCTGAACCGTTCACAAGGTGGGTAACACAAAATACTATAAACTAAAAATGGTCACTTCAAGCATTGCAGAATGCTTACCAATCTATTACACAAATAGTAAAAAGTGGTACTGATCCGAAACACCACACATTCACTCACCCCATGACGGAGTGAGTAGGAAAGCAATCCCCACTTCCGCATATTGGCGGGTCATTGACCAACCGAAGGTGAAGATTAAAATCAGAAGAAGCAAAGGGACCATGACCAAATTCGCCTTTTCTACCAAACGGATGCCACCGAACAGAAACACACCGGTAATGAGAACCGTCAAAAATTGACATAAGACTGGCCAATAGGAATCCTTGAGAAGTGGAAAAAATTAGAAAGGCTAACAAGTATGCGTTTCTCAATAAACCATGCTGTCGTATGGAATGAATTATGGGAGACGAGTCGATAGGTTGCGAACCGGATCTGAGGTATTGCTATCTTTATGGGAATGGCAACTGAAAACAGAGCACCAACTAATCAGTGAGTAGCGAAGGTCCGTCAGTGTTCGCACTACTGGCACGGCGGAAACCATCGTTGGCTGAGTGCACTGGGCGTAGAATAACGCGACAAGAAAGTGGAAATTAAGTTGGACATCTAGTTAGAAATCATAGGGTTCTGTCGTAGAGCTTAAAAAACAACCATCCATCAACATTAACTTGTTGGAAATAAACTCGTTATGGTCGCGCTCCCTTGCGTTCATTTCGTCCTGGTACATGGATTACCTTGCTTGTCTACACGGACGTAGGGTCACATCGATCCCGGTCTAAGGCAGGAATAGCCCATTAACATTTACGTAGTTTCGAGAACATGATTCATATGCAGGAATTCAAGCCAGAACGTTGACAGCAATGCTGATTGGACGAGGCTTCATCAGGATACCCTGACAGCATTTGAACCAAACCCCTCCTATTATGCAGCAAAAGCTTGTAAATGAGGAAAGGGCCCACAACCTAGAGGAGATCATCGTGCAACATTAACATTCGAAAACCTAGTGCATTCCGATTAAGATTAGTATACAGAAGCAGGTGAAACAGCAGCACACGAGTACATGAAAGCGGTGAATAATGAGTCCGCGCTAACACAACAACCCGTGACCGCAAACCTCGTGTAACACGTGATGCAAACATGGAGTAACATGGAGGAAGACGGGTGCATAGTGCAGGGAGGCATGTGACGCCATTGCACATTCAAAAAGTTGTTTCCACCTGTATTTGTCCAAAGATAGTCTTGCCGTTACTCCAACAGGACTATGAGTGCGGACGCCTCGCTGTGCAGGAGCAATAACTGTGCTCTGCACAGAAAAATGATTGTTAGCACCCTCGACAATCGCCCAAAATTAGGTTATCATGGATCCAAACTAATCCCTGTCACTGAAGCAGGTGACAACTATTAGCATACTGTTGTCAGGCACAAAGTAACAAATATTTCGCGCAAGAAACACCAATTTGGGATTAGCGTATACAGGTTTAGTGTATATGTAAGTCGTCACGCTTTTGAAACAACAACGGTATACTCATTTTTAAGCAGTTTTAACAATTGGATAGACGGCCATTCGGAGGAAACGTTGTGTGATTGGGTTGCGACGATGTTACCGAAAGAAACCTTGGTTTATTTCGCATATGTTAACGTGAGCGATTTACACATGGCTGGTGCAGCATTTTTCACATAAACAACTCCGAAAGCCAGGCATACAACTAAGTTATGGATAGACAAAAGAGGAAACCTCCATCTTGTCAGCTGTCATGCGTGTCCCTTGTGGTAACATATGCTTTTTACTTGAGGTTAGAGAGCCAATAAGCAGTGTGGACTTACTTGGGCGAAGGATTTGAACAACTCGGCACTGGTCACTTCATCGCCTGGAAGCTCTTTCAGCGCAATGGACTTGTAGAAATAGTACAAGCACCAGCCAGTGATTACGGGATAATATCCACTACAAATGGGAACAAAAGGGATGTAGTTGAGTAGAACAAAATGAAGTTAAGTCAGCTAGCAGAGCACGTCACAGTTTAAGTCAACTACAGTTTAACGGTATACTAAAAGCTTCATGGTAACAATTCCGGGGTATGTGCTCCCAGTATAAAATAAAGAAGGATATTCCTTTCTAAGTTATGAGGGTGTACGGTATGTTTACGGGAGAAGTTTCACTTCTCTTAAATAACGCACGCATTTGGTCAAATACACAGTGTCAGTCCATGGACGGTAACTATGTCCCAGTAAATCCTTGATTCTTTCCAATGTTCTTCCCACTGAAGTATCGTTACCAAAAGAGAGATTGCTTATTTCATGGCAGGATTTGACTTGCCAATCTATGTCTATTAGCTGACTGAAATTCGGGAGGCATACAGGTGGAAGGGTGCAGTGCACTCAAACCCTAAATTCAAACCAACCCATGATGCTATAAACATTAATGCGCAATATGTTGATTACAGGTGAACAAAACCGTACTCCATGGATTAAACACGAAATCAGCTCGGTCAGCTGAATCCATCAATTAAGATCCTCAGGGGAAAACACTGGCTACTCCGGTGCATAAAAACCTTGTACTTTTGTGTGCGCTTTGTGCAAGATAAAATGTAGAAGAAACAAGGATAGGCATGAATGCATGTTAATATGTTGCTAGCTCAATCGAATAGAGTAAGGGGTATTACCTGATGAAGAAGGCCGTTCCAATAAGCCATCCGCCTAACCAAAGGAATCGTTTTCCCAAAAACTTCTGGTAAGTCGGAAGTGGTGAATTTCTGGTGAATCGTCCCACGGCGTATTCGACCAGCACGATAGGTATTGACCAAAGAAACAAAAGCGCTATCCACACTAAGTAGAAAGTTAGGGACCCTGCAAAAGAGTAAATGCAATGTCAGTCTATAAAATACTGTAGCTTGGTTGACGCTGGAGTATGGATAGGGAAGAATGATTATTTTGTATTCTAGTGGTGCGCGTGAATATTGAAAGATTTTTTGCAATACATGGAGGACGATATCATCAGATATTTTAAGGCCGCATTCTGGCACTCATCTAGAGAATATAAATGTTATCAGACATTTCTCTGAGGTCATTACACTGCTTGTAGTTCATGGATGCAAATGATGGGATACATTTTAATGCATCACAAGTAGGCAGCCAATTCGACGGTGGTAGTCACCCTGGTGGATTGGGCTAGGAATGTGGCGTAGACACATCGCTATTCGTGATACCCATGTAGCCAGTGACTATCACTCGGTTGCGGCTATAAGTATTCGTGACGTCGCCTCCGATTCATCAGCGATTACACTTCGAAAAGTAAATCGTACAATAAATCCAGGATGAGCTCTGACGGCTGACTGAATTTAATCTGTATGACGAGTCAATAAGGCCAGTTAAGATGAACATAGTGTGCACAGTTGAGCTCATCTCTAAGAAGATCAATTACTGTTGCTGTTGCTGTAACGTTTTCGTATAACACCGTACAGTTACAAATAGACTGGACAGATTTGCGAAGCACCTTGCCGATCTGAAACCATGGTGAGGGCAGTAACTTTTGGTGAAACATGAGATCACTTTCACATGTAATTGATTGCTATGTGAATGTATACCAAAGATTGAGAGCTAAACTGCTAGGCGATCATACCTTTGGAGTAGCTCTGAGTAGCCACAATACGAGGGAATCGCCAGATATTCCCTGTTCCAACAGCACTACCAAGGCAGGACATTGCAGAGCCCAATGCAGAACCAAAAGCTGAGCGCGTTTCTTGTGGTAAATATAGTTCGACATCATCAATTGATTGCCGGCTTTCTTTTGTCTTTGAGAAACAAACGAAAACAACATTTTTGCATTTTTGTTAAAATAATGAAATAAAAACCGTTGATACCTCCGTCGTTTTAGATAAACCGGTGCCTTTTGATGGGTGATCTGACTAGGTTATCAAGTTGTTTAGGAGAGCCTATAACGGGCCATAACTTACGGTGGAAACAGATCGCGTCAATCTTGCTAACTGTTCCAGGACCAGACAGAAAGCATCTGCATTTGGAATTAATAGTGTAGTTCAGCTTTCGGGCGCGATCGACAACAACCCAGGGATGTCAGAAAGAAAATTTATCTCTCACGCGCTTCCTTCCGCAGTTCGAAACCTCGCTCAGCAAGCATAGTTGGGTTTAAAAAATTAAACAGCAGCCCTAGCGATGAGATTAAAAACGATCTCGATCGAGTAGAGCTGTGGAGATAAGTCGTCGAATAGTAAATGATGTGTAGATGGCAAATGATGTTTTCCTGTTATTCAAAATTTAGTTGATCTCCAAAGTGCTACGGATTCCCACCACATCCATAGTATGAGGCAGAAGCGCTATAACTGCCCATGTAAGTGACCGCACACTAACGAATGAAAAGACTTACACTCCAATCTCCTTAAAAACCCATGGAGAAACAACTGTTAACTCCCCAAGTAAGTAACCAATTTTTTGACTGGATATGATAGGTCCCATGTATTAGTCACGTGACAAGAAAAGTACAAGCTGAAGTTATAGGTGCTGGCCCTGATATTATTAGGAGCGTCATATTCGCTACAAGCTGTAAATATACAGGATGGTGGAGAATCACTGACTTGAATCCCTGCGGCATGATAGGGCTAAGCAAATCCGAGCTTCAGTCTTCGAAAGCTTACTTAGTACCCCGCCAAATGCCTCTAGTTTAACGGAGTGGATTATCAATCGTAAAACGGCAGACAATTTTGACCTTGTCCAGTTGTTAATGTGGATTACTGAGGGTCAAGTTTAGCCAGACAGACATAAAAGCTTAAATTTTTATCTTATGGGCTGCTAAGCCAAGGGCACACCTTTACTTATTACCATTCCCGATATGAAAATAGCTGTAAACGGAATCCAACAATGTAGTCCCTGACAAAACCCATGTCATTACGCATTGCAGATCAAAGGCTTGTCTAATCGATTCAGTTAACTAACCTTGCCTAGTCGTGTATCCTACAGCGGTGATCTAGGTCCAATACATCTATTCTAAAGTGGTGATTCATGTCTTCATCCAAGATTAACGGTTTCTGTCCATCGATGACATTAAGGTCGTCTTCTCTATCTATAGGATCAACTTAAGTAAGTGCCTCGTTGAATATCAAACAAACAAGGAAGATCGACCTATTAAATATGGTACTTACAGATACCAGATGCAGTGTTCCTTACGATCATTGTGCATAACGCCTAACAGACTGGGATTAAGCAGCAGCAAATTGGGTGTTGCCCGCCTGAAACCACTGCACTCCATGACGCGTTTCGAGGTTATTTCCTCTCATCACTTCAATGGGAATCGCGGTCTACTTTGAGATTGCGCGTCGCAATCCATCCACACAACGTGTACTTCAAATTCACTTTCCAATCTGTTATTTGCCGTTGTGCCAAGCTTTGCCCGTCGTGACCCGGTGGCTTAGGGGTGGCGGTCACAACTAACATCTCAATGGTCCCGGGTTCGATGCCTGCTATCTCTATCTGATGAGAGGAAATAACCTCGAAACGCGTCATGGAGTGCAGTGGTTTCAGGCGGGCAACACCCAATTTGCTGCTGCTTCATCAGCTACGGTCCTAGTGATCGAATGGCCAAGGTTCACTTCAATGGGAATCGCGGTCTACTTTGAGATTGCGCGTCGCAATCCATCCACACAACGTGTACTTCAAATTCACTTTCCAATCTGTTATTTGCCGTTGTGCCAAGCTTTGCCCGTCGTGACCCGGTGGCTTAGGGGTGGCGGTCACAACTAACATCTCAATGGTCCCGGGTTCGATGCCTGCTATCTCTATCTGATGAGAGGAAATAACCTCGAAACGCGTCATGGAGTGCAGTGGTTTCAGGCGGGCAACACCCAATTTGCTGCTGCTTCATCAGCTACGGTCCTAGTGATCGAATGGCCAAGGTTCACTTCAATGGGAATCGCGGTCTACTTTGAGATTGCGCATCGCAATCCATCCACACAACGTGTACTTCAAATTCACTTTCCAAGACTGGGATTAAATTAGGCGTCGCTTGACAGTTGCCACAGTGGAAGTCCCCTAGGTGCGCACTACTGTCACCCCATACATTTGCTGAGCAAGCAAGCCATAGAACACCAGTGGAATCCGCTTCGACTTCAACCGCAGGGCAATGATGCTTGTGTGGTCAAAGTTTCCTGTGCTCGGTCGCGCTTATATAACCACACAGTAGTGAACAATAAGTTGAGAAAAGCTATGGGACAATGATGGAGAAGGTACAACACTTATTCATCAAAATTTTAAACTCTGAGCTCAATTATTTTTGTGCTTACAACTGTATATGGTTGCATCCTCTTATGTTGCGTCTAATCCCATGAGCCATTTTCCTTTTCCAACTTTTAACTAAACCCAATCTATTCACCGATCGTTCTGTTCACCTGCTTCGCGCTGCCGACCATACCATTTTTGATCGCCTTCTCAAACCTCACCATAAAGTCAGTCATGGTTTCTTTGTTTATCGACAAGCTCACACACGGAGCATAGTGCAAGTGAATGTTAGGGCAGTAGGCGAATTTGCAGCGGGGAGTGTCTATGAACAGATTTCATAGTACAAACCCAGCTTTGGAATAAATAAACTTCAACACATGGAACAAGGGTCCAGCTGATATTCGTGGTGCACGCTTGCGATCGAAATCCGTCCTAATCCAAAAGTTTTGCTGGAGGTCCTGGAGCACCATCGGAAGAAGTATGACTTCATACAACGGAATAGAAACGATTCATGAAGATGGGGTCAAAACAAGTGATTTCACCTGAATGCGCACTGATGCCGCCCTCCCTTTTCATTTGATCATGCAGCAAGCGCAATCAAGAGATACAGGATTCTTTATCTGGCCAACTGCCAACATGTCCCAGTTCTCAAAAACAGGAGCAATGATACCGACCTATCGTGGGTTTCAACAGAATCGCGCAACATGAATCGGCAGACCTGTGTACAGACTGAACCGACTCCAGGTTTTGAGCCAAAGCACAACGGTCGTTAAGATAGACACGATGGTCTAGTGTTTTCGATGTCTTCGTTGGTCACACAAACATCTCGACGTTCAACAAGGTTTGATCAACGATCTAAAGGCCACCAGCACCTACACGGAAGAACCAAAACGTCCTAACCACAAGAAGTTGCAACTAAAGAGGTTAGCGGTCTTCAATTTAAGGAAAAAGGACTCAACAGTGTCTTATTCTATGTTGAGGTCAGAAATGGAATAGGCATTCGAAATGTGCTGAACGCAGTCATTCAGATCATAAGTCTCTACGAATGATAGTTAAAGCGCAAGCCATTCTCCTTTAGAGTATTAGAGATGCCGACATTCCAAACAGCCAGTTTAAATCTTTGAATGTTATGAGAGTACTAGAGGACAGCGTCGCTATTAGCGTAGTTAGTCACCGCAAACATCAAACCTGCACCACCCCCGCTTTCGTCGGATTAAGCTTAGTCAGGTTTTGGAGAAATGTAACAATATGTCGTTGAAGGTTGTTTAGAGCGAGTTTGCTGAACTTTCAAGGTATTTATCTAAGAGATTCTATGCATATCTCTTATTGACATGCAGTCAACGCAGCAAAATACCCTCAATTATTCAGTACGTCTGTTAAATGCACTCAGATGCGTACCATTTTAGTGGACACCACATGATACCATCACAATGCTTGGGGCAACCTGCGGTAGGATTGCCCGCTATCCTGCTTATTTGACCCAAAATAACTAGGTGGAATTGTTTGTCGTTCTGGTTCGATAGCCCACAAGCACTTTCCAAGATACCGAATTCCATTAACAGAAACGGGTGACTAGTTGAATGGAATTGGTGCAAAGCTACCCGCATTTGTAGTCTTAGGATCATTTAACCGAAATGTTGAGATTTCACCACATGAAAAGAAGGACAAATTATGCTAAGAATGTTGGTTTATCACAGCAATTTTGAAGGTTTATGTTAGAAAAGGCTAAAATGCTCTAACCTCACTTTGTTGAAAAGGGAACTAGATGAAAATGGTCACGGTGCAGTGTTGGGGCTTGTAATGAACTGAGGCAGCCCACACCTGTGCCAATAAACAGAGAAGGACAAAGTCAAACTCTCTCAAGCATACCTCAGGAATTAGGAGTATGCAACATTCTGGGATCCGTAACTATCTAAACTATACAAGCTGCTAATAGCAAACAGGGTGCGCTTACTTCGTATTCATCACCAGTTACCGTTCCATTGCTAACAAGCTTTTCTTTGTATCTGGTTGCATTTGCATTGCAGCTATCGAAGGACAATATTACCGATAGTTCACGGGACTTGCATTCTTGCACTGCCATAGTCACCGGCCCGGTGTCAAGCGATAAGTCAACTGAGTGCAGAGCGTGCTAACCTGATCAACTGGTTGGTAACCAATAGGCCTCGTACAATGGACCATTCACACCTCGCAGCGACCATACTATCTACAAGGTCAACTGGTTGGTGTGCGCAATACAACCCAATGGTAACTAGTTAACCTACAAGGCTTTTAAGGCTATCTGAGGACGACACAGAGTACCAAATGATAGTGCGTATGGTAGGAAACGGGAAAGCTCAATTGGTTCAAAGCTTTTGGAATATCATCTTGATGTAGGCAAGCTGAGGAAACACAAACGGTGCGAATGAGGGAACTTGCTTCACAGGCTTTAATTCATGTGCTCAAGCGACAGACTGTACCGATTTCGCCATACTACTGAATGTCGCTCTCCATCTGATATTATCCTGATGGCTAAGTGGTATGTCCCAACAGAGCCCGCTAAACGACATCTTATAATATCGTGAAATAAGCGGAACCCGGCAGCCTTACTCCATCGATGGTGCTTACAGTCATGTTTCCTTTTACCCAGAAGAGGTGGTATAACCTAGGGAAAGAATAGATGAACTTTATTGGGGCAAAGGGCATCCTGCTTAATCTAAAGATAGGCGATATGTTGCAAGTCACTTTGCTCTGGATGGCATTAATTTGAAATATAGGTACACATGGAAAGTGATTGGTTAAGGCTACAAAATGGCATACCGACAGTTTGGGCACTTTAAAATACCATAACGGCGATTCAGGCACTGAGCATTAGTAGATAACATAAGGCATACATTGGGGTCTGACATTTGTCTTAGTATTTGCCAACAGCACTTGAAGATCAACAAATGGCTAGAACTGTTGGGGAGAATGAACACCAAAGTGGAAGGAATCACCATGTGGCCAGACATCAATAGGTGAAATATACACAAGTGTTAACGCGCACCTCTGAGAATCTATCACAGGTGAGATTTCACATGTGCCGGCCAAGCCCTACTGACTTGACCATCCAGCTCGATAGAAAAATGCAACTAGCAGAAATCAACAGCAAATTAACCGTGGTTAGACATGAGTACGTTTGAGTTAGAAAAGCCTGATCCACATTTTACTCCATAGGAACCGAGCGTAGGCTAGCATGTCTGTCAGTGGCCAAACTAAGAAAAAGGATGCCCGTTGAGCTTTGCAAATGCGTCAAGTCTGGAAAACAAGAATCTTTCTGAATCATTCTGTAGTCACCACACATACACTGGGCAAAATGTGTTGCGAAAGCGGATAAGTAATAAACCCCCAATCCAACTCCAAGTGAATCACCATTAAACTGGAAGCGGCTGACTAAATAACGGTGGGCAAAACATACTATCCGAAACACATTTCTTTCGATTCGCTACCGAGGACCTTAAATTGTTCTTGCTCGTAAACTAATGTCGAAGCCCTTTACAACAATGTTGACGAGCCTCGGCGGCTTGGGAGCTCATTTCTACAACAGTGAGTTGCTTGTACTAATAGGTCATGGACGCTGAAATCGCGATATAGAAAAACTCACTCTTTAGGAACGACTGTTACAGTAGGTGAAATGGTATAATTATGGATTATATCATCGACTTACAATGTTAACCATTGCATGATCCGACGCTAGTCACCGATTATCTATGGAGCAATATACTTCGCAGCTACAATGACAACAATACGTGCCAACGTTCCATTGTATCCTTTGGTCTCCTGTACGTTTAGAGACTACAATGATCCAACCAGCGGACACATTGAAGAAATAGCTGCTGTCCATGCGTCTACATGTCTGTCCCTGAATAGATAAGATCCGCCCAAAGATTCATGTGTGACCGCTAGTGTTCTGGATGAACAATTGGCGCGGCTGTTCCAACAATTGCCTGACGAGACATATTCCTGCAATGTGGCAACAGGAGAAAATAACTCCAATTTACAAAGTTATAGTCGTCCGGGCCCAGATAAGTATCGACCAGAGACCCACCTGCCAGGACCTTCAAAATTTATGGTGGCTACCATTGCTGACACATTCATATCTTATCTGGACGGTTTGCATCACACTGCTCAACTGCAACTGGGATTCCCTCAGAATCGATCGCATAACACCAACCTATTGTTGGCACGAGACCGTTGGACCGAAACGGTGGCTGTTTGTGCAGTGGTTGATTTGCTTTCGCTTTAATTCTCTAAGGCATTTGATCACGTGAACCATCGTATCCTTCTCGCTAAACTTCAAGAATATAGGATTGGTGACCCTCTCCTCTGGTGGATCTGCATTTTTCTCTCGCACAGACATCTGGTTGTAGAGTATGTGAATCCATGTGAGACCTAGTTCACTTTGAATGCGGTTTGCCACATGGTTCGCTACTTGGGCCCCGCCTATTCTTGGTCATCGTTAACGATCTAATAAGCCAAACCACGTCGAATTGTTTACTCTACACTGATGACATCAAAATTTGGCGAGCGGTCAGAGCTCCAGGATATCCTATCCAACTTTAAAACGACTTTGACAAGCAGTCTAGCTGGTCGGTCGAAAATCGGCTTTACTTCAATATAGTTAAATGTAGAGAGTTCCATTTAAGACACTGGACGGTTCACATTTATCAATTAGGGAACCAGGATCTGCAATTCTCATCTCACGAAAAGCCTCTTGGTATGCTGGTCCTGGAAGATCTCGGCTGCTCGCAGCCCTCAGAAAAATCATAGAATGGGGTCCAAATATTTAGACTTCCACGGAGAGATTTCGGACAATTCGAATCCTCTATTTTCCGCCAACTACTACACGCTTATATACTACATCATGTAGAATATGTACTTCAAGCATGGTACCATTGGTTAAAGCTGAATCTCACTGCATTGGAGATTCCGCAACCTTGGGCAACCAAAAATCTCAAGGGGCTGCGCTAGTTATCGTACGAACAACAGTGTAAGGCATTTTCAGTGGATGCTGTCGGTGTTTGCGTGGTAACCTAACCATGGTTTACCAAATTGCAAACTACCCTAATCACCCGTGCTTTCACGTTTTGAAGCTAACTCACAACAACAAACTGTGAGATCATTATATCAAATTGACAGAACAATACATCCACTTGGACTGTCGAAAAACTTCTCGCTGCGTGTCTGCCACACATGGAATATCCTCTCATAAGCTGTTAGTTCAGCCCCCATATTAGCCGTATTCAAAGGTCGTGTCGACGGTGCACTAGCCGTACGATAGCATTTCACGTAACCCAATCTACCTATACAAACAGCAAAAAACATATACTTATGAACCCACCCATGTTTTGCCTTGAAACCACAAACAATCACCTTGGATAATACCTTAAAACAAATGTGGACTGCTCAAACACTGTAACTGGTAACTTCTCAATTTGCGGTTTTTCACTATTTCCTATTGCTATTTTTGCCTTCCTTTTTCTCAGTTCTAACCAATCTTCCGGCGGGACATGTCAATCTTCCACTTTTTTCCTCCACGACAAACCATTGACTATTGATCATTGGCACCTGTTGCGTGGCAGTCATTTAGCACCCCATTGTGCACTCCAGAGATGGATTCTCGCCTATAGGCCTTGAAAAAGAGACTTACTCTTAATTTGCAGCCACAATGTAAATATTGTGATGTTGCTCACCATAACACTGGCACCCCAGGACCGCGGTTTCTTCCTGTTTTGGACTCATCAGGTGAAAATAGCCTGAGCTGGGGTGGAAATCAGATCCTAGTAGATCACAGCTGACGCCCTGACCACTATGCGACTGATATCCGCTAGCAAGGCTTGGTACAACGGAAACGGATTTAAAGTTGGACCTGGAGAATTCGCTGTGTGGTTGGGTTGCTATCAGCAACCTCTATTGAGACCTCGGTTCACTTACAGCCACATGCTTATCCCAGGTGATTTCAGCGTAAGCGAACTATACGACGCGGCGTCTCCCAGACAAGCATTCAAGGCATGGCCGCAAGAATACATTGTAAGTATTCCATTGTACAATCACACTACCTTAGCCGCCAAGTGAAAAGCTAATAGGAAGCCTTCAGTACTATGCCACATGTCTACAAATGAGGAACTCATGGTCGACTGATAATCGATGGACAATCTTTAAGGTCTAAGCTATCATGTTAGTATACTTGATGCTCAAGTGTGTCGCGTTGAATACCCGGGAGAACAGACTGAACCAAAGTGCATTATCCCATACCACAATATGCAGACAGAGCTGATTGCGGTTACCCAGTGGGACTTCTTGGAAGACGGCTCCTGGACAGCGCGTGGATTTAGTTTGTCGAACATTTCTGTAATTTGATCGCAACTGCTCCAGAAACTAAACGGGCTTGTTCTACCAAAACACCGTTTTCATCCGAAGCAGAATTGGAAAACGCATGCCAGAAAGGAATGCAGCTAGGCGCACTTACATAGGCCGTCCTGGTCCCGAAACCTTAAGCAAAAACCCCGCCCAGCGCAACCATTGTAATACGCTTCTCCATGAGGACAGAGCGACTCACCAACAATGGGTGGATCATAGTTTGCCAAAAATCACAAAGCTTCTCTATAGGAATGTAACATTATCCGAAAAGTGAAGCACAGTATTCCACACTTAACACGACAGTTGCAGTGGCACAGTGCTGAAGAAGCAGGCATTGCTTTATGGATGCAGTAGGCATCGACCTTCAAACAAGACGTCCGCCTGTTTTACAAACCGACATCCTTCACTAAAAATTTCAGGATTTACTCCCATTTCGTTTACCGCCAAATTGTTTCAAGGCAACTGCTGTCACCGCGCACTTACTGTTCTCTCAGAGTAGATGAAATTTGCCCGGGGACGTTAAGCGTAGAAGCAACAAAGCTGGACCAGCCATTATCGCAATTTTTCCAAACGCGCTTGCATAAACAAACGTTGCTTACCATTTAGAAACATGGTATAAGCATGATAATGTTCGAAAGTGGCAATAACTCGGGACCCGTAAAAAATCGCTCCTTGGTTTTCTTCTCTGCATTCCCATAGGCGATG